CTACCATGGATGCCCAAGCCCAGGATCGTTGTCACCGAATTGGCCAGACCCGAGATGTTCACATCTATAGGTATTGCCTAGTCCCCCCTTACCTTGCTTCCCCATTGCTGATAGGGTTTTATTGATGTAGTTGACTGTTTACTGATGACTTTTATCATCCCCCAGGCTTATCAGTGAACGGACAGTGGAGGAAAACATCCTGAAAAAGGCAAATCAGAAGAGAATGTTGGGAGACATGGCCATTGAGGGAGGCAACTTTACCACAGCCTATTTTAAACAGGTACTACTATCTTCCAGCCTGTGGAGGAAAGAACTGCTATGCCTGTAAGAGTTACTTCTACTTATTAAAGAAACTGCTTTGACCCCTACAGACCTGTGTCCTGTGTCTCCAACCAGTGGCACCTCTAATGCTGATTTTTTTTTCAAATCCTCACCCGAGGATACTTTTTCCCATTTTTATCTTCAGATAGGGAAGGAGAGAGAGAAACAGAAATATTGCCACGAGAGAGACACATTGATTGGCTGCCTCCCGCACAACCCTGACCAGGGCTGGGGACTGAACTGCAACCTAGGCATATGCCCTTGACCAGAATCAAACCCGCAACTCTTTGGTCTGCGGGCCGACGCTCTACCGCTGAGCCAAACCAGCTAGGGCACACCTTTAATACTTCTAAGAACTATCAGGCTCATAGCTGTAGGCCTGGGACCAGCATTCCATTGACTCTGACACTTTTTCTTCTGTTCTTTCCAAAGCAGACCATTCGAGAGCTGTTTGATATGCCCCTGGAGGAGTCATCTGGCTCCTCTGTACCCTCTGCCCCTGAAGAGGAGGAAGAGACTGTGGCCAGCAAGCAGACCCACATCCTGGAGCAGGTGAAAAAAGTGGACGTCCTTAGAGGAGAGTTAAGGGTTACAGTGTGTGCTATCTCTTGGTCTGTTGAGCTTGTCCAGGGGGAAAGAACTGTTTCTGCTGCTTCCCAGATTACAGTTGGCCTTTGATAGTTGTGAATAAATTGCTTATTGGTTCACGTGATTTCGTAGAAAAAAGAATTTTTATTTCATTTTTTTAAAAATATGTTTTTAATGATCTAAAAGAGAGGGAGAGAGAGATAGAAACATCATTGAGAAAGAAACATCGATGGGCCACCTCCTGCATGCTCCCTGCTGGGGATCAAGCCTGCAACCGAGGCATATGCCCTGACCAGAAATTGAACTGGGTACCTCTCGTTGCGTAGGACAACACTCAACCAACTGAGTCATGCCAACCGGGCTGATGTTTTGATTTCTAAGTTTGAATTTCAGAAGTGCTGCTTTTTATTTTATTTTTTTATCCTCACCCGAGGACATTTTTCCATATTTTGTTCAGACAGAGTGGGAAGGAGAGAGAGAGAGAGAGAGAAACATCGATGTGAAAGGGACACATCGAGTGGCTGCCACCCACACGACCAACCAGGGCCAGGGACAAACTGCAACCGAGGTACGTGTCCTTAGCGGGAACCGAACCCGGGTCTCTCTGGACCTCAGGCCAACGCTCTAACCGCTGAGCCAAACTGGCCAGGGCGCTGCTTTTTATTTTAAACAAAACATATATGTATATTTTTTTTTAATAAGTTTGTACTGATTTTAGAGAGGGAGGGGGTCAGAGAAACAAACATCCATGTGAGAGAGAAACATCGATAGGCGGCCTCCTGAACACACCCAACAGGGGATCGAGCCCACAACCTAGGCATGTACCTGACACTTGAGTGCACAGGACTGTATTCACCCAACTGAACAACACCAGCCAGGGCCAGCAGTGCTTCTTAGTATTGTAAGCCAAATCTGTTTAATCTTCTGAGCCTTACTTTATACTTTCCTGAAATGATAATGATAAGGAAGTAACTGAGGTTAAATGACATAGTGGATTAAGAAGTGCTTTGTATGCCCTGGGCAGTTTGGCTCAGCAGTTGAGTGTTGACCTGCGGACCAGAGAGTCCTGGGTTCAGTTCTCGCTAGGGGCACGTACCACAAAAAAAAAAAAAAGAAGTGCTTTGTACATGGCGTAGAACTCTTTATTTTCCAAATACTGACACACAGTAGAATCACTTGGAAAGCTTTTATAAAGATTGATTCCTGGACCCCATCCAAAAATCTAAATCATTTTAGGAGGTGAGGTCTGGGCATATGTATTTTTTCAAGCCTTTCAGAAGTAGACAAATGTTTAGGAACTATAAGTATAGAGTATCATGGAGATGTTTTCCACTACCAAGTGCTTTTCCCTCATTTTTGAGCACACTCTAAGCCACTTCCTTTAGAAATGTAAGCTCCCATCATTTCTCAAGGGAAAGATTAGATGTGGTTAGTTTGTTGTTATGAGACATCTTGGTGCAAACAAGAATTTTGTATTCAGAATTTTCTGGGGTTTTTTTGGGGGGGAGGGGGGTACCAAACTACTTTATTTGAAAGAATGGTACAAATGAAAAGATGTAAGTGGATGATTTGGTACAAGTTATGGAAAAGGTAAAGGTAAATCCAACATGCCCATACTGTTTTGGTGACCAGGGAAGTCACCCCCCTGGCTATGAGAAGCCAGCCTAAGGCTTAGCTCTTGTCACTGTCACCCAGGATGTGCTTGTCAAAGAGATACTCTGCCATGCCAGTTTCAGGGGCCCCCAGTCTGTGCAAGTTGGTTACGTGGTCACCCAGTTCTTTGATGGATTTCACCCTCTTATTCAGGTCGTGAGTTTCAAGGAAGCCATACAAGTGAGGGTCATTTTTGTCAGTGGCCAGTTGGTGCAAGTCCAGTAGTGACTGATTCACATTTTTTTCCAAGAGTAATGCACACTCCATCACATTCAGCCCATTCTCCATCGTCACGGTCTGGTTTTTTGATATCCTGGAGGAAGATTCGGCCGCCTTGTTGGTTCTGCAGCTTCATCAGTTTCTCAGCATGGTCCCTCTCTTCATGAGACTGGTGAAGAAAATATTTGGCAAAGTTCTTCAAAGCCACATCATCGCAGTCAAAGTAGTAAAACATGGACAGGTAGACGTAGGAAGCGTAGAGCTCCAGGTTGATCTGGCGGTGGATGGCGGCCTGAGTCCTGATGGTAGTTCTGGCACCTGCGAGGTGGACATCATGGTGGGCGGCTAAGGAGAGGCGGCTGCGCAGCCCTGGAGCGGGGGCCTTGGGGATGTCCAAGGCGCTGTGAGGAGGTGGCCGTAGGCTGGATCAGGTGGCTGGCGGGGATGGGTCGAATGTCGGGTTCCGTCCTAGCACTGTTGAAGCAGGAAACCACGGTGACTCTCTGCGAAGACTGTGTCAGAATTTTCTGCTTTTTAAAAGAGATTTAAGGTTGATTCACACAGAAAGGAAGTAGAGTAAGAGGTCACTAAAACAGTTATTTTGTCCCTGGTAGGAGTCCTGGTCAAATCCATTCTATCCTGTGTAGATCACTGCATTGCTTTGGTAACTTTGGGGGCCCAGTTAAGTTCTGTTATAATGTTATAAACCTGGTTTGATATAAACTTAAAAAAAATATATGGGCTGTGACCCAGACAATATTTGATTTATCCAAAATCTGCCTTGTAGAGTGAAGAACCAGTTTAGTCTAGTTCTTATAATGATGTCACCTTTATAGTACTTAATTATAAACTGCCCTGGCCGGTTTGGCTCAGCGGTTGGAGCGTCAGCCTGCGGTCCAGAGAGACCCGGGTTCAGTTCCCACTAGGGCACGTATCTCGGTTGCAGTTTTTCCCCGGCCCTGGTTAGCTCATGCGGGAGGCAGCCTCTCGATGTTTCCCTTTCAATCGATGTTTTTCTTTCTCTGTCACTCTTTCTCCCCCTCCTACTCTTATCTGAACAAAAAATGGAAAAATGTCCTCAGGTGAGGATAAAAAAAAAATTATAAACTTACAGTATGTTTAAATACAGTAAATGCCTCAGGGTAAGCAGGAAAAGTGCTATGATCTCATTTTACAGGTGAGATAGCTGCTTCTTAGAAATTAACTGACTTGTGCTTTGGCCAGTGTGGTGTGCGGTTAGAGCGTCATCCTGCTCACTGAGGGGTCATAGGTTCAGTTCTCTGTCAAGAGCACATACCTGGGTTGCAGGTTCAATCTCCAGGCCTGGTCGGGCAAGTTTGGGAGGCAACCAGTTGATGTGTCTCTTTCACATTGGTGTTTCTCTCTCTCTCTCTTTCCCCCTCTCCCTCCCTCCCTGCCTTCCACTCTCTCTAAAAAATTAATGAAAAAAATATCCTCGGCTGAGGACTAACAGAAAGTTAATTAACTGACTTATTTATGAAAAAAGGCAAGGACAGAAGCAGGATTGGAACCCAGGATTTTTGAGCGTATTGCTTTTTTGTTCCTTTTTTGTTGTTGTTGTAAACTCGGCCTCAAATTTTGGCAGAATCAAATCACAGGATGTAGTTTGTTAATTCTCATGGATTTTTTCCACACACGTTTGTAGGCATTGTGTCGGGCAGAAGATGAAGAAGATATCCGTGCAGCCACCCAGGCCAAAGCTGAACAGGTGGCTGAGCTTGCAGAATTCAATGAGAATGATGGGTTTCCTGCTGGTGAGGGAGAGGAGGCTGGTCGGCCTGGGGCTGAGGATGAGGAGATGTCCCGGGCTGAGCAGGAAATTGCTGCCCTTGTAGAACAGGTTAGTATTGGACCCACTAGTTCTCAACCTCATCCTCTATAACTCCTTTCTTTGGACTCTGTGACCCTCCTATCTTCCCCAGTAAAAATAACCACAGTTGATGGGCCCTAGACACAGCATTTCCTCTGTTCATCACCACTGCTCCTCCCCACAGCTGACCCCTATTGAGCGTTATGCTATGAAATTCCTGGAAGCCTCGCTGGAGGAGGTGAGCCGAGAGGAGCTCAAGCAGGCAGAAGTGAGTAGTTCTACGGAGTGGGGTTGGAATTGGGAAGCTACTACTACTTTCCAGTCACTCACCATCCTGCTTGTCTCTCCCTGATCACCCTGTTGGTTCTGTTGTTGGTAGGAGCAAGTGGAAGCTGCCCGAAAGGACCTGGACCAAGCCAAGGAGGAGGTGTTTCGCCTACCCCAAGAGGAGGAGGAGGGGCCAGGGGCTGGGGATGAGGTTTCCTGTGGGACTGGTGGAGGCAGCCACCGGCGCAGTAAGAAGGTCAAGGCCCCTGAAAGGCCAGGGACTCGAGTCAGTGAGCGTCTTCGTGGAGCCCGGGCTGAGACTCAAGGGGCCAACCACACTCCTGTCGTATCAACCCATCATACCCGCAGCACCTCCACACCCCCTCGCTGCAGCCCTGCCAGGGAGCGAATTCCCAGGCCAGCTTCTAGGCCTCGACCCACTCCAGCTTCAGTTGCTGTCCCAATCCCTGCCCCAATCCCCATTCCAGCTCCAAATCCATTAACTGTGCTTCCTGTCCACATCTTGCCTTCTCCCCCACTTCCTCCGCAGATTCCTCCTTCTTGTTCTTCTGCCTGCACACCTCCTCCTGCCTGTACCCCTCCACCAGCTCATACCCCACCTCCAGCTCAAACCTCTGTCTTAACTCCTACCTCCCCTCTCTTGCTTGGTCTACCTTCTGTGCCCATCTTTCCCCCAGTCACCAACCTCCCTTTGGGCTTGGGGCCTGAGGCAGAGCTGTGTGCGCAAGCATTAGCATCTACTGAGTCCTTGGAGCTGGCTGATATGGCCAGTTCTGAGACTTCCTCGCTTACTTGTATGCCCCCTAAGGATCTGTTGCCAGTTGCTGTTGAGATCCTGCCTATGCCAGAGAAGAACCTTTCTCTCACCTCTTCTGCACCTAGCCCAATCCTAGAGGCTGGCAGTTTCCCCAGTGGTCAAGAGCAGGAGGTACCAGAGCCTGCTGAGGGGACCATCCTCACAGTGCTGCATGATGGTGAGGAGGTGCCCACATGTATGAATGAGAACAATGGTCTGATGCTTCCACCTTCAGCAGTATCTGATGAGCTACTTGAGTTGCCATTGGAGGTTGACAAGAACTCAGAAGAGCTGGTGGAAGCCCAGACCCCAACATCTAGCCCACAAAAACCTCAGGAACTTGTTTCATCTGAGGTTACAGCTCCGTCAACCTCATCCTCAGCCACCTCCTCACCTGACGGTTCTTCACCTGCCCGGCCCCCTCGGCGTCGCACCAGTGCCGATGTAGAAATTAGGGGTCAGGGGGCTGGTCGGCCAGGGCAGCCTCCAGGCCCCAAAGTGCTCCGCAAGTTGCCGGGACGGCTAGTGACTGTGGTAGAGGAAAAGGAACTGGTGAGACGACGGCGACAACAGCGGGGAACTGCCAGCATCCTAGTGCCTGGGGTCTCTGAGACTGGTGCCAGCCCAGGAAGCCCATCTACCTGCAGTATGTTGGGGCCAGAATCCTCACCTTCCACCAGTGGGCCCTGTGAAGCTGCTCCCCCATCCACACTGCCCACCTCAACTCAGCAGCCCTTCATAGCTCGCCGTCACATTGAGCTGGGGGTGACTGGAGAGGGCAGCCCAGAGAATGGAGAAGGGGCAGTGCTTGCCATCACCCCTCCTGCTATGAAGCGTCGGAGGGGGAGGCCTCCTAAGAAGAACAGGTCTCCGGCAGATGCTGGACGAGGGGTGGATGAGACACCTTCATCCACCTCTAAGGGGAAAACCAACGGGGCTGACCCAGTCCCTGGGCCTGAGACCCTTATTGTTGCAGAACCTGTTCTAGGACCCCAGGTTATTCCTGGGCCCCAGTCTCTTGGACCCCAGCCAATTCATAAACCCGAGCCTATCATCTTATCACCTGTGGAGAAAAGAAGGCGTGGGCGGCCCCCTAAGGCACGTGATTTACCTATTCCTGGGACCATTTCCTCTCCAGGGGATGGCAACTTAGAGAGCCGGACACAGCCACTCCCACTACCACCACCTGTGCCACCACTCCTAGCCTGTCCCATTGTTACTGTCGCCAACACTGTCACCACTCTCACCATTTCAACATCCCCACCCAAACGGAAGCGGGGTCGACCTCCCAAGAATCCACCATCACCTCGGCCCAGCCAGCTCCCTGCCTTGGACCGAGACACATCTGTCATTGAGAGCTGTGGACTGGGGAGGCGGCAGCAACCCCAGGGCCAGGGGGAGAGCGAGGGTAGTTCATCTGATGAGGATGGAAGCCGCCCCCTCACCCGTCTGGCCCGCTTGCGCCTTGAAGCAGAGGGAATGCGGGGACGAAAAAGTGAAGGGTCCATGGTGGTGGCTGTAATTCAGGATGACCTGGATTTAGCAGATGGTGGGCCAGGCGGGTTAGAATTGACACCTCCCATGGTCTCATTAGCTCCAAAACTGCGCTCCACCCGGCTGCGTCCAGGGTCTCTTGTTCCCCCACTAGAGACTGAGAAGGTGCCTCGGAAACGGGCAGGTGTCCCAGTTGGCAGGGGTCCAGGGCAAGCAAAGCGGGGCCGCCTGCAGTCCCCAAGTCCCTTGGGACCTGAGGGTTCAGTAGAGGAGTCTGAGGCTGAAGCCTCAGGTGAGGAAGAGGAAGAGGATGGGACCCCACGTCGCCGGTCTGGCTCCCACCGACCTGGTGGGCTAACCAGCCAAGGGGACCAGCGCATCCTACGCAGCAGTGCCCCTCCCCACCCTGCTGGCCCCACTGTTAGTCACAGAGGCCGAAAGGCCAAGACGTGAATGGGCTGCCCCTCCACCTAGGCTTTCCACCATGGCCCCTCTCCCTCCACAACCAGGCCTGACTCTGTTAACCACTACTTGAAGTCTTTTGAGGGGGAAAGCCTCCAGGGAGACATAGGGGCCTTCTCCCTTCTTTCCACCAAAGTAGGGGGTAGGAAACTGGTTGTCATGGAAATGGGGCACTTCACATACTCCCTTCCCTTCCACCCCACATGGCTGGGCAGTGTTAAGGGTGGCAAGATAGTCTCTGGCCCCACCCCATTGTACTTGATTCCCCAGCAATCTTTCACAGCCCCCCACCCTTAGGGGAAGGGGGAGGGGCTTCTCTACAATAAGGATTTTTTTTTCTTTTTTTTTTTTTTTTTTTAAGAAGAAAAAATAATAAACTTAGTTTCTGTATGAGCATCCGCGTAAGGAGGCTTCTGATTTTCTGGTCTGGTGGAGGGTTGGGTGGGAACTTGGGCATCTTTTTTCTTTTCCTCCTGCCAAGAACCTAGTACCTCATCTCTAACCCAGAATTATATATCTTGGAAGTGGAAATGTTCACCGAAGAAGATTGGCAAATCTGATCTCCTGGTAGGGTGCCTTTCCCTAAGGTTTTAGTTTTCAATCACTCAGACTCACACTTTTCTCTCCTCCCTTCTATTCTCTCATTTTCTGGACTTTCCCTCAGAGCCCTCTGATGCCTTAGACTTTCTCCTGCTTTTATCTTCCTTGCTCAGGTGCTTTTACTCCTTTTCCAGAAGGCAGGCATCATTACCTTGAGTTGCTCCCATCGTTTTTCCTCCTTCACTTTCCTCCATCTAGCCAAACTGGTTTGAGTCAGCTACACCCCCATATGAGCTCCTGGGGCTCTTCAGGTGGTGGCTGGCCACCCAACCCCGCCCCTGGCTTGGCTTGGAGCCCTGAATCAGCTCCATCTCTACCCAAGCCAGATCAAACCTGAGGCAGAAGCTGAAACTCACAGTACATCAAGGCCTATAGCCAGGTAAGAGCCCCTGTTTATTTTACATTTTCTCTGATCTCAACTCCCTGGACCCTCCTTGTGTTCTCCCCCTCATGTCTGTATCTGTTTACCTCATCTGAGTTCTTTCCTCATACCCACTTCTGCAGCTTTGTGGCACATATTCTTTGCTCTCTGCTTGTTTCTTGTCTTGATTCACCCTTTGTATCCTGTGTTGTGTTCAGAGAACTGCAAATGGTTTGATTTTATCTAGGACGTAGGGGAATGGTTGGAGATGGTGGTTTGGTACCAAAGCTCAAAAGACCTGAGAAGTAGGGAGATGAGAAATGATTAAGCAAGGCATTATCATACAGGTTACTGTGTGGGTAATGAGGTCATTCGGACTCTAGTATTAACCAGATTGTATTGTATGGCCTATGTTGAAATGGAGAGAGGCAGGCCATTTGGGAAGGTAAGGTCTTCCTGTTCAGTTTCCTCAACTAAAGAGAGCTTAGATGGGCACTGTTTCCCTCCTTTTCTCCCATTCCCCAGAATTGTGTTTTCACGTGAAATGGCTGTTTTGTTTAAAGCAGGGAACAGGGCCTAGGGTGTAATGCTCTGATCCCCCTTATTATTCAGGGGCAGTCTCTGAGGAACTTAAGGGAATTTTAGTGCCCTTTGAAGTACAGTTTCAAAATCAGACTTTGATTGTCTCAGATTCCTAGCAGCTGTTGAGATTCTATTTTCTGCTTCTCCCCACTTGTCAAAACTATAATACAGATAATGCTATGTTCATGCTGGCTTGCCTTTAGAGAGTCGAAATCTTAGGCTGAGGAAAAAGGATTCCAGACGTATGTTTCCTCTCTCGGTCTGTGAGTCATTAGAGGAATTGCCCAGTAAGGCAGCATTCTTGAGAATTGAGCAAGGCCACAAGGACATGATCAGAGATGGGTGGAGTCTGAGCAAGACAGGCCAAGGGCATGGTTTTGGGGCTTAAAAGTACCTTGATTAGCCCTGGCCAGTTTGGTACAGTGGTTAGAGCGTCGGCCCATAGACCGGAGAGGCCCGGGTTTGGTTCTTGCTAAGGGTACGTACCTAGGTTGCGGTTTGTGTCCTGCCCTGGTTGGGGTGGTGTGGGTGGCGGCCACTCGATGTGTGTCTCTCCTGTCGATGTTTCTCTCTCTCTCTCTTCCTCTCTCCTTCCCGCTCTATCTGAAAATAAATGCAAAAATGTCCTCAGGTGAGGATAATAAATAAATAAATAAAAAAGGACCTTGACTGTATCGCCCACAGGTGATGGAGGACAAGGAGAATGCAGTGGAGATCTTGGTGAGCAATATGGAAGCTGCTCATTCTCCATCCCCCATTCGCTGCTGCCGGCTCCGCCTCCGCTACTTGGCAGCTACTAGCATTATCTGTGGCTGCTCTTGCCTGGGAATCATGGCCCTTGTGTTTGCCATCAAGGTGAGGAATGCAGTTCCTATGGGAGCAGACGGGTGGGTGTAGTAAGGCAATGGTTTAATTCATATCTGATCTATCCACATGGATCAAGCAGTTGCTAAGGATCTGTCAGCTTTATTCCAGAAATAAGAATAAGACATGGTTCCTGCCATCATTTGTCCCATGGTGTAATGAAAGAGATGGCTGTGAAAGTGGATAATTATTAATGGAATGTAGCTCATTAGTACTATGGCAAAGGAAGCACAGGGTATTCTGGGAGCTGGGGAGGATATTCAGGATGGGACAAAAGTAGGTTTACAGTTGAGAGGGTGTGAAAATTCATTCTTCTATTATATTTTTAAAATACTTTTTACTGTTTTTAGACAGAGAAAGGGAGAGGGAGAGAGAGAAATATCCATTGGCTGCCTCCTGCACATCCCCTATTGGGATTTGAGCCCGCAACCCAGGTATATGCCCTGACTGGGAATCAAACTGGCAACCTCTTCGTGTACAGGATGACTCTCAACCAACTGAGCTACACTGGCCAAGCTATTCTTGTATTATTTATTAATTATTATTTTCCATACATACAACTGTAAACCTGCTTTTGCCCCACCCTGAATGTGTATGATTACATGTGTGTGTAAAGTAGAGTAGGTGGCAGGCAAGCCATCCTGGGGAGAGGAGGTGACAGGAAAATAACCTTAACGGATGAATGAATTAGGGTGAAAGGAAGCCTTGTGTACAAAGGTCTGGACTATTAGTTCAGCATAACTGTGAGAAATAGTGAGAGATGAAGGCAGAGGGCCCAGATTCCCAAGGGCCTCCAATGCTATGCTTAGGAGTTTCAGCTTCATCTTGAAAGTACTAGGGAGCCATTCAAGGGTTTAGCAGAGGAGAATGACATGGTGAGATTTATGTTAGTAAGATCTACTCTCAAGGCCTACATGGATGAATTAGAAGAGGCAAAACTGGAGGCAGCTGAGCAGTGATGAGAGCAATCTGTAGGAGTCCAGCAGAAGCTATAGGGGTTTTGAGAGGGCTTCATCATTTCAAAATACCTAACAGAAACTGTACATTTACCGTTTGAAAGGCCACATAGGCTAACTTAAATATTCTCGAATTTTCTCAAGCCTACTTTTATTTTATTTTTTTTATCCTCACCCGAGGATATTTTTCCATTTATCTTCAGGTAGAGAGATGGGGAGAGAAAGGGAGAGAGAGAGAAACATCGACATGAGAGGGACACATTGACTGGTTGCCTCCTGTACGACCCCAACCAGGGCTAGGGACGAACCGCAACCGAGGTACGTGCCCTTGACCAGAATCAAACCCAGGACTCATTGGTCTATGAGCCGACTCTCTACTGCTGAGCCAGAATGGCCAGGGCCCTAGTTGTATTTTAACAATCAGAAACTATTCCTATCATTATAAAAATTTCTGGGTTTTATTACAGTAAAATCATAAAAAGAATTCTTAATAATGAAAAGATGAGACCCACTGGACTAATGAGAATGGGATGTTATTTGACTGGACATGAGTGAAATACTCCAACATAGCTCACTATTTCTTGCCAAGAATTCCAAATTTGGAATGAATCTGGGATGAGTAGAAAAGATTAGGTAATAAAAGGATTGAAAAATATACCGTATACGATCTTGTGAATTAACAATGGCCACCTTAAAAAGTAGGCAGAGTAGAGTGGATAACTTATTTTGAAGATGAGGCATGAGAAATAGAAAATGGAAAGGGAGGTAGAGGATTCTGATGTGAGGTTTTGAGCCATAACAAAGATGCAGGATTGGAGTGGGGCAGTGGGCACTTTGGGACAGAAGTAGGGGGAGAACCTAACCAAAAACCTGCCCCCACAGGCGGAAGAGCGGCATAAGGCAGGCCACTCCGAGGAAGCAGTGCACTGGGGGGCTCGAGCCCAGAAGTTTATTCTTGCCAGCTTTGCTGTCTGGCTAGCTGTCCTCATTCTGGGCCCCCTACTTCTGTGGCTTCTCTCTTACGCCATCGCCCAAGCTGAGTGACTGTGGGTGGCCTCTGCTGAGAGTCAGCTGAAACCTTCTTGCTCCTGCATTGCAGTACTACTAGGGCCTGGTACCAGCAGTGGTCCTTCCTGGCTGGAGGATGGTGCCTCTCTCAAAGGGCTTTGGAAGAGCTCTTCCAGCCCTTTATAAAAGGAAATGGCAACTGAGACTGATGAAGGGAGGTCAGCCTGCTCTGTTCTTTCAGTGTTCATCATTCCCTGTTCCCCCTCAACCTACCCCATCCTAGGGTCCTCTACCCAAAGGTGGGGTTGAAGACCAGGCCTGATTTTATTAGAATTTGTTTTGTAATAAAAATCTTTTTAGTAGTGAAATGCTGCTCCTGTCTACTTGTTCTTCCCTGCTTCTTCCTGGGACCTTGGTGAGAGCCAGAGTGGACATCTGACTGATGGCAGAAGTCTGCATCTCCCCTTACCTATTTATTCCATGAGAAGGAAAGATTTTTCTTCTTGTAGAAGTATCCCTTTATGGAAAGATCTCAGCTTTTCTCTTACACATGGAGACCAGAAGCCAGAGCAAGAGTAATAGTACCAGCTCCTATTTATTGAGTGCTTGATATATTCCAGGCTGTGTTCTAAACACTATTATTTTAACTCCTTCAGTTCTTACAATGACACAATAGTAGGTACCATTGTTCTCATTTTATAGTTGAGGAAACAGGCATAGATTATAGGGTCACATAGCTAATAAGTGGCAGAGCTGGGATTGAACCCAGACAGTTTGGTTCCAGAGTTGAGAGAGAGGATAAATGGATTGAATACAGCACCCGTCACCCTGTATCTGGAGGTTTCTATGATTATAATGAATTTTCATATACTTTATCTTAGCCTTAATGATAATATTTTAAACATTTTAAATGTGATATTTTGCACATATAGGAAAATATCCAAAACAAATACACAGCTCAGTAAGTTAACACAAAGCAAACATCTGGACAACCACCATTCAGTCAAGAAATTGAACATTGCCAAAGCCTCCTTTATATCCCTTCTAATCACTACTACTTCCTTTCTTCCAACAGGTAACTCATTCTGACTTAAAAACAATGTAGTTTAGTTTTGCCAGCATTTGAACATTATATAAATGAATTCATATGTATTTTTTTATCATTACCTGAAGATATATTTATTTATTTTATTTTTGTGTGTGATATCTCTACACTGATTCTTACCAACAGGCGTATAAACCTTTACTCCAAACCTGGAACTGAATGAGTGTTGGTCTATTTGCTGTACTGATGACTCTCTTTTTAGCATTCCTGGGAACTCCTCTCCTATGGTTACTGCCTATGGTCGAAACTGCTTGCTCCATCTTTGCTTCATTACTGGCATGCCCTCTGACAACTGCATTTCCAGGGAACTCTCCTTATGTTGTATGCAGTGACTTGCTTCCTAAGGATGCTGCTGTTGATTTTTAAGTTTGTGTCCTGTTAGCAAAGTTCAGTTCTGGCTCCTGGTGGCCAGATACCCTTTTTGCCCCCTAGACTGTTCACTGCATCAAGTAGGATATATTTATCGATTTTTAGAGAGAGAAACATCGAGGTGAAAGAGAAACATCAGTCAGTTGTCTCCCGAACATGCCCCAACCAGGGATCAAACCCATATCATAGGTATGTGCCCTGACTGGGAATTTAACTCACAACACTTTGTTGCACAGGACGACACTCCAACTAACTGAACTACCCAGCCAGGGCTCATATATATTCTTCTTTTTTTTTTTTTCCTTTATTGATTTTAGAGAGAGAGAAAGGGAGAGGGAGAAAGAAAGAACCAGCAATGAGAGAGAACATTGATTGGCCACCTCATGCACATTGATTGGTTGCCTCCCACACATGCCTTGACAGGGTCTGGGACTCAAACCTGCAACCCAGGTACATGCCCTTGACTGGGAATCAAACCCATGACCCTTTGGTGAGAGGGCCAACACTATAACCACTGAGCCATACCAGCCAGGCTATTTATCTGGCTTTTTTGGGGGGTGGGGTGGGGGGGATATGTGCCCCTAGCGGGAACCGAACCCAGGATTCTCTGGTCCGCAGGCCAACGCTCCAACCACTGAGCCAAACCGGCCAGGGCTGGCTTCTTAATTGTGAGATTTATCAATCTTTGGTGTAGCTATAGTTTTCATTACTGTATAGCATTCCATTACATGAATATATTGTAATTTATTCATTTTATGTTGGTGGATTTTGGGGATGTTTCCAGTTTTGGAATAGTATGAATGATTCTGTTGTGATATTCTTGTACATTTCTCTTGGAGTACATATGCCCTGTGAGTGGAAATTTTAGGTTATTTCACCATAATCCAGAGACCAGCAGAGCACCTAAAAGAATTATGGATAGTACACACTGAAGAGAGAAGATTAAAGGGGAAAGAGAGGCACCTGATAATTGTCTTCAGTGTTTCAAAGTGCTCCAGGAAGAAAAAAGTGAAGAGAATCCATTGTAGGTCCCAGACATCAATGGGTAGAAGCCATACATAGGGCATTGGTTCTCAGCTTTGTCTTCAACAATGGAACCATGTGGGGAGCTTTAAAAGGTAAAGCCTGGGCTTTACCTTTAGAGATTCTGATTTAACTGGTGTGAGCTGCTGCGTGGTTATCAGGATAACACATTCTAAAGAGATTTTTACAGAAACTTTTTTAAAGCTGTTTGATTAATCCGCATCTTCAGTTTACTAGTAAAGAATATCTCTTTTTCCCAAACTGATTAAATGAGGTCTTTCTAATTTTTAACTCTTATTTTGAAAAAAGTTAAAACCTACAGAACAATAAAAGAATAGTACAATGAACTTGTGCACTCTTCATCTAGATCTGTAATTTTTAACATTTCCCCACACTTACTGTGTATCTTTCTACATATACATATTGTTATTACTGAACCATTTGAGGTTAAGTTGAAGGCCTGTCATTCTTAAATACTTCATGATCTATCTACTAAGAACAAAGATATTTTCTCACATAATTAGGGAACAATTATGTAATCCACAGAAGGTAACATCAATACAATATTATCTTCTGATATATAGTACATATTCAAATTTGCCAGTTGTCCCAATGACATCCTTTATTTATTTAGTTTATCCTCACCCAAGGACATTTTTGCATTTATCTTCAGATAGAGCAGGAGGGAGACAGGGAGGAAGAGAGAAAGAAATATCCATGTGAGAGAGACACATTTGACTGATTGCCACCCACATGACCCCATCTGGGGCCAGGGACAAACTGCAACCGAGGTATGTGCCCTTAGTGGGAACCGAACTTGGGACTCTAGTCCACAGGCCGACACTCTAACCACTGAGCCAAACCAGCCAGGGCCGAATGGCAATTTCTTTTCTGCTTTAAGGTCCAGTGTGGGAACACACTTAATGAGTTCAATTGTCGTATCTCTTCAATTTTTAGTAGGTCCTCATCCTTTCTTTTTTTTGTCTTTCATAACATGTTTGCAGGCAGGCCAGTTTGTAGAATGTTCTCAATTTGGGTTCTTATGATTGGATTCGGGTTAGAAATACTACATAATGTTAATGTGTCCTCAGTACATCACACCAAGAGGCATGTGATGTCAATTTACTCTCTTATTGGTGGTGGTAATATTGACAACTTGGTTAAGGTAGTGTCTGTTAGACTTCTGCAAGGTAAAAGGTAAAGATACCTTTTATTCTTTGTAATTAAAAAATAATCTGTATAAATATCCTGTTCCCCAGCAAATTTTCCCCAATAATTTTAATGCCCAGTATGCCTAAGACAATTATGAGGCTTACAAAATGTTGATGTTTTAAGTTTACCATTCTTCATTTATTAGTTGGCATTCTACTATGAAAGAAGGTCCTTTTCTCCATTTATTTACAATTTTTAGTGTCAGTATGGTCTCAGATTGTTCTTTAGTTCAATTTATTACATCCATTACTGTCATTATCCTTAAAATGGTTTGTTGAGATATAATTTACATACAATAAAGTGCACAGATCTTAAGTGTGCAACTTGATTAGTGTTTTGATATGAACACTGTGTAATCACCACCTAGGTGAATTAGACCATTTCTAGCACATCAGAAGGCTCCCTCATGACCCTGCCAGTCTCATTATTTTTGTCCCTGATTTTGGCTGCTGGAAACCCCTTCAACCTGGTTTTTGTGTCCTGATAGTCACCAACTTCACTTTCTGGCACAAATTATTTTAGATTTATCTGGCACTTTCTCTGCTCCAGCCTGGGAATTGGCCATTTCTCCCAATGAGCCCTGATTCTTTTACTGGAGACTGTTATTTTGAAATCAGTATCTGAACACTAACTGTGCTTACTCTACTGGGATGTCATTGCTTCTAGGCCCTTTTAGAGGTTAGAGCTAGAAAAGACTTAATTTCATCTACTTTAAATCTATTTTTTAAATCACATTTTTTTTCTTTGATGCTATCCCCCCCATTTTTGTTAATTTATTTTTGTTACAGCTGTTTCTCCTTTTTTCTCCCTAGACTCCCTCCTCCCCATCCGGCCCCCCACCCCCCGGCATTTCACATCTTTGATTTAAATCAGTTATAGGTTCTTTCTCTCCATTCCCCATTCTTTTTTTTTTTCCTCACCGGAGGACATTTTTCCATATTTTGTTCAGATAGAGTGGGAGGGAGAGGGGGGAAGAGACAGAGAGAGAAACATCGACGTGAAAGGGACATATCGAGTGGTTGCCACCCACACGACCCAACCAGGACTGGGGACAAACTGCAACCGTTCCCTTAGTGGGAACCGAACCCAGGTCTCTCCGGACCGCAGGCCAACTCTCTAACCACTGAGCCAAACCAGCCAGGGCGCCCATTCTATTTTTTAAACATCCTTATTGATTTTTAGAGAGAGAGAAAGGGAGGGAGAAACATTGATCAGCTGCCTCTTACATGCCCCCTCACAACACCACCAGGGTTTGAGCCAACAACCCATGCATGTTGTCTGACTTGGAATTGAACCTGCAACTTCACCATGCATGGGACAATGCCCAACCAACTAAGCCACACTGGCCAGGGCTCTCCTTTCCCCATTCTAAATTACATATTCCCATAGTAAGAACCTTGGCTGCCAAATAAATACTTATTCACTTGCTCAATTTGAGAATAATTATTCCATTATACTACCAAATAAGCCTACTAAATAAAGTTCAAGATTTCTTTGCAATTATTTTGCCTTTATTTTTATTTTCAGGGTACATTTATTAAAGCTAGGGACAGTGAAACAAGGAAGGGCTTAGGATAGATGAAGCAACAGGAGAGAGACTGGGCAA